TGTATAAGAGCTTCTCTGGAGTATATATACCTATGCTGAGTAATAGGTACGTGCATGTTAAACTTTCTGAGACAATGTCAAGCTATTTTCCAAAGGAATTGTACTTATGTATCAATATTTAGCCACCATCAGTGGATGTGAATTCCTCTCAACCTCACTTGGTATCATCCATCTTCTTAACTTTTTCCAATTGGCAGATGTGGAATGGGCTGTTCTGTTTTCCTCCTTTTACCAATCATACTTTTGCTCACTTTCTCACTGGGTTGTTTTTCCATTTCTTATTTATTTGTAGTCACTCTTTCCATATGCTGGAAACCAATGTCTTGTCAGTTACATGTTATCTAAATATCTGCTCCCTCTTTGGGGCTTTTTCTAGTATGATTATGGTATATTTTAATGAATAAAAATTATTAATATCAATTCTGTGTCTTATAGTTTCCACTTTTTGTGTCTTACATAAGCAATACTCCTTTATCCTTATTCCTAGACATATTATTATGTGCTTTCTTCCAAATGTTTTATAGTTTTTAAACTTTTGCATTTATTTCTTTGATGAACCTAGAATTTATTTTGAATTCTATATGCCTATCTTACATATAATTTCATTGATTAAATATGGAAATACTTTATTCCTTTTACACTGATTTTTAATGCCCAACCAGTTCACAATGGAGTTTCCATGTACAGTAAATCTGTTTCTGAGCTGTGTGTGTTAATTCATGGGTCTATTTGCAGAGCAATGCAGAATCCATTACTTATCAGGTGAAAGGAAAAACTACAAAATTAGAAAACGTGACCTAAAAATTGTATCCTCATATGAATTATTCTTCACTGGTCAATGTCTAAAGTTAATTGGTACATTTGCCCTTTTCCTGAGTCAAGGAATTGAGAGCAATTTACCTCCATTCATCCCCTTTCAGCTGTCACCTACTTTAATTCTACATTGTTTTCTCTTCTCCATACAGATATATTATTTTATAGCCAATATTCATTTAGACTTGGTCATTTGTCACTCTATTTGTTCATCATCCTGTTTTGCATCTCAGAACTTCCAACTGAAATCACCTTCCTTCTGCTCCAAGTACATCCTCTCAGATTGCTTTGAGTAAAAATCTAGAAGCTGATGGCAAACTCAGTTTTTATTATCCTGAAAATGTCTTTATTTTATACTCCTTCAAAGATAATGTCACTGAGTAGGAAAATTTCTGAATGGCAATATTTCCTCCCGCCACATTGAAGGTATCGTTCCATTTCCAAGGCCCACCGTTGCTCTTGAAGAGTCCGCCATCAGTCCAGCCACCCTTCCTGTGCTGAGGCTCTTTCCTTTCCCCCTACCTGCTTGTAAGAGCCTCTCTTTATTATTTGACTTTCTGCTCTGATGCGTGTAGTTGCGATTTATTTTGCCTGGAACTCATTAGTCTTTTTAATGGAGAACTTGCTTCTTTAAACATTATCGTTGAATGTTTTCTTCTCTTATTCTTTCTTATATTCTTCTGGAATGCTGATTAGACATGGTCGGATTTTGTAACTCCAGCTTTCACACCCCTTGTCTCCCTCTTTGTCACTAAGCTGCATTCTGAATCATTTCCTTAAAGCTACCTTTTTATTCAATAATTCTCCGTTTGGCCTTGCCTAACCTGTCATTGGACACATCCGCTGAACTTTCCATTTTCATTATATTATTGATTTTTTTTTTGTTTATTTTTCAAATCTTCCTGGTAGCTGCTCCAATTTTTAAGCTTATCTCTTTTTTTTTTTTTAGTTTTTTTTTTGTTTGTTTTTTCAGATTAATATGAAAATACAATTTTTAGGTTACATTGTTCTCACTTCCAGGGTAGAGTTCCATTTGTAGAAGCGCCTCACCCAGGGGGGTGTGTTATACACCCTCACGATGTGCACATTAGGTGAGATCTGACCCCAAGCCCTCCCTCCTTCTGCCAAACATCCTCCCCCTTCAAGTTTATCTTTTATTTTCTAAAACACTTTTATGCTCCCTCCAATAATTCCATAGCAAAATCCACTAACTCATTGAAGCACAGCTGAAAATTACCAAAGAAGGACAAACCAAAACCCAAATATGCCGGATTAACTATGGAAAACATAATAGTGTAAGTTTGCTCTCTCAGCCTTCATATTCATCTCCCACCTTTAGCAAATAACTCACGGCCAAACTTCCTTCATCTATATTTTCACACTCCTGCTCCCTGGTTGCAGATAGGATCACTCTGGAGACTACAAATACTGTTTATCATATCCAATAACTTGCCTGTGACGGAGATAAAAAGGAAAAAAGCTTAAAAGTCCTCTGAAAACATCAGTGCTTACCCTAGCTCCCCAACTATCAGTCCCACTCCATCAGTCATTAATGCCCTCAGTAGTATCTGTCTTACAGGTCAAAATGTACCTCCTCTTACAAGGAAGTTGGGACCTAAGAGGTATTTGTTTACAGATGTTATCATCCAATAGCCTAAAATATCGGGGGCTCTAAACTCATGACTTTGTATATGAACAAGGGTCAACAGGATGTTCAGTCAATCCTCAGGTATAATTCAAAAAGACAAATTACTGTGAAGTACTTGTTTGATTTCTCACGGTTACATTTTAAGATAGAACGATCTACCAAAGCATAAAACTCAGTGGCAAAGGGGAGCTGGCAAATTTTCCTGCCCTTTCATAAACAGGCAGAGGGTTTTGCAAGCAGAATTTTTCTATTTCAACAAATTAGTAGATTTATATAATGATGGTCCTATTTAGCATATTTCAGTTTAAATTTAAAACCTCAAAAACTAGCCAGAAATTTGTAGGATGATGTGTGGACAAAGTGATTTCTCAAAAAAATTAACAATGGAATTTGATCTAAACATAATCTAACACAATCTTTGATCTAAACATTATTAGGACCAACCATAAGAAAGAAATGTGCTAAAAAAAAAATAATAAAAGGAGAGAGAGAGAGAATAAAAATTATCATGTTTAACAACTACAGTTATATTCCTTTCCAGTTCTAAAGTGCTTGACTTAAATAATCCTCCTACCCACCTTAATCATGTATGTTAACATATAAAACTCTTAGCTGGGACTAACTCGCTATAAAATTTATGTAAACAGCCTGATTTTCCATTGACTTTAATCAAGCAGCCTCCTTCTACTCCCTTAACCGACACCAAAAATACACATTCATTTTTTGAATCTATATATAAAGAAGAACATGGTTCATGTGTTTATAAAAAGTTCTTTACTGTAGATCTTAGCTGTGACTCTGTTAACAAAGTAATTTACAACTCAAATAAATAGCAGTTTCTGTGTGTTACACATTCAGTCTTTGGTGTAAGCACTCAACATTGGCTGATGAACATAAGAATGGATAAAAAAATATAAGACCTGTCCACACACACATGTCACAAAATGCATGGAGTAGGTTTAACTTTATATCTCAGTTTTTAACTTTTCCAATAGAACTGAGATAAAATCTAGCACAGCATATTATTTAAAAGTGTACTGTGTATAAGAAATAATACAATCAACTTTATTTTGGAAGAAAGGTGTTTACCAAAGAAACTTAAATGCAAAAAGCCACTGGTTTTCAAAAAATTAAATCTTTTCTTTTAAGTGACAAGGATTTCCAGAACAACAAACAGCCACGACAAATGAGCCACTAAACAAGACCAGTAAATTCCAAACTTGTTTTTCAGTTTTTTGTTTGTGTTTGCTTGCTTGCTTTCATCATAGACAAATCTCAATTCAATTAAAGTATCAGGATGACAATGATTTGGGGGGTGACTTTTCCAATCTCTTCTAATTAACATGGTTAAGGAAGTGATTTAAATGCTTCAAGAGAGATGTGCATTTTCTGTAGGGGGTTGAATGAAGGGAAGCAAGTGACCAGAGTATTTACTGAGTCCCTGCAATCAGATTCCCACTGGTGAGATGGCCCCCATGCGTCTGGAGGTCCATAGCACACAGTGGCCTCCTGCTCAACCCTGGCAGATGTGTGCAGCCCCAAGGCACCATCCAGGCTATGATTGTGGGGACATGGAAGAAAGATCAGGGGTCTATGGAAGCTTCTGCTACTGAAATCCATTGGGGATTCTCATAGGGAGCACCTATAGCTTCAGAACGGACAGAGCAGAGTTTGTCTCACACTGAGTGTTAAGCTGACCTTACTCAAGAAAGAAAGACCCTCCATGTACCTTGCCAGGGGCAAAGCCACTATGTGACTTATTCTAAGTTTTGGATAACAGGACCTAAAGCCAGACAGTGACTAAAAAAATAAAATGCATCATCTCGTCACAGAACATTAGAAATAGAAAAAAAAGAAAAACTCCAAAATCATCTAGTCTACCACTTACCTAAATTAATTGGATTCATTTTCCCAACTGACATCTCCAAATACATAAATATTTCATCCCTCCTTAAAACACTCAAGCTTTTGTATTTGTACAAAATATTTTAGTAGTCTTATAAAGTGTCTAAACAGGGATAAACTTTAAAGCAAAAATAATAATAAAGGAAAAACCATAAAACAGAGGTTTGATGACTATTCATCAGTACAAATAAACAGTCATCCTTTATTGCCAGTTTTATTGCCAGTGTGACTGTCACTGATGTGCTCACATCAGCCTTTTTAGATACCTAAATTATACATGAGGATTGTAAATATTCTTTATGTGTACCTTAGGATGGAAAAAAAAAAGCCTGCCAAGACAGGTGCAAGGGCTCCGTGAGTACACCGTCCTGTTTCCTTTTGTTATCTCTGTTTGAAAAAAGAGATCACCCCTTAGAAAAGCCTCTAAGAAATGCCTCTAGTGGTAATTTCTGGAACCGAAGTGAACATATTGCTGTACAAAGGGGAAATAAAAAAAAAAAAGGCAAGGCAAGGTGGCTACTGGTGCCAATCCCAGTGACATAGCAACAGAGGAGGCGTTTCTTTTCTGTGGACTCCATAAAGGCCAGCCCAACATCCTCTATTAGACAGACGGCTGCAGCCATCCTGAAGCAACATGTCCTCCATCCTAGAATCCCCGAAGGACTTCAGTCGCAGAAGCTTCCACCAAAGTCTGAGTTTATCCACGCAGGGCCCTTCACTCAGCCCAAGCGTGAGGAGCATGCCGCCCCTCTGGGCTGCACCCAGCGTCTATGGGGGAGCCGGAGGCTACGGCACCCGCATCTCCACCTCCAGAAGCACAGCGAGCTCTCACAGCATCCCCACCAGCGTCGGGGGCCTCCTTAATGGCAATGAGAAGACGACTATGCAGAACCTAAATGACCGTCTAGCGAGCTACCTAGAGAAGGTGCGCTTTCTGGACCAGTCCAACTCCAAACTGGAAGCGCAGATCAAGCAGTGGTACGAGACCAAGGCACCCAGCAGTGGTCGGGACTACAGCGCATATTACAAACAAATCCAAGAGCTGCAAAATCAGGTGAGGGATGACGCCTGTGATTTCTGCTCTACTGTCAGCTGCCTAATAGATCCAGAGACTATTTGGGTTAGGTGGGTCCAAATGACTGCTGACAAGTTGGGCTGAAATACTACATCTATAAAAATTCTTTCCTCTATCTACCCTTAGTGCCAGAGTGCCTGCCTGTATAAATACAATGACTTTAATCATCCTATTTTTTAAATGTTTTCATCTTATTACAAACAAAATATGAAAATTTTATCCTCCAGCCTTATAACCTATATCTTTGTCACAGCTTACCCCAGCAGGGCTAAATGGACAGTAAATAATTTCTAAAAATGCTTTATGGGATAAATCTTTCTTAGTTTTTCACCTTGTCTTCATCAACTTTCAAAACCCCAGTCAATTGAGAGATTTTTCTCCTTTCCTTTATGTAAATGTTATAATATAAGGATCCGAAAACTGTATTGCAGATTAAATAATTAAGTGATTCAGGGTGGGGATGAGGCCCAGGGGTATGGGTAATAACAGTAGCTGGGTTTTTCTGTTATTATTTTTTATTTTATTTATATATTTTTTAATTGAGATAAAGTCTTGCTTTGTCACCCCCAGTAGAGTGCCATGGCATCAGAGCTCACAGCAACCTCAAACTCTTGGGCTCAAATGATCCCCTTGCCTCAGCCTCCTGAGTAGCTGGGACTACAAGTGCCTGCCACAATGCCTGGCTATTTTTAGAGATGGAGTCTCACTCAGGGTCTTGAACTCCTGAGCTCCGGCAATCCACCTGCCTCAGCCTCCCAGAGTACTACGATTACAGTCAGGAGCCACCACGCCTGGCAGCACCTGGGTTTTTAAAAGCTCTGTTTAACAAAATGATCATCATCAGAAGCGATTCAGAAACTACTTCCACAGTAATAAAATCTTCTTCTGCCCCTGATTCACATTTATTTCACTCTTGTCACAACCTGCTGCCATGTCATCCACAAAAGGTGGAGCTCTCCATTTTATCAGCTGCATGGAACCAGAGCAGAAGACTTTGCTCCTACTCGGCTATGACACAGAGCGTGTACTTTGCTTCAGGGTTCTTATCTATTAAGAGAACTGTCCTTTTCGTCTGCATTTCTGTTTCATATTCCACTTACTTGTCAGCAAGTCTTTTTTTCTTGCATGGTAGTAGACATCTGTGGGATTTGATTCAGAATCTACAGGAAGTGATATTGGGATTTCAGGAACCATAGGCACAGAAAGCAGTGGTATTTAAATTGTGCTTCCTGCCAGCAGCTCACCCTCCTCAGACTCTCACTGTAAATCCGTAAATGTTCAAAAGGAGCCAACCTGTCTCCTGTTTCTGGCTCTACTTTGGATCATTTCACATACACAGGAACAGCCCCCAGTTTCCTCTAACTGAGCAGACCCACCACTGAAACCCAGACTTCTCTAGGACCAGATTCAATGAAAGAGACATGTCTTTTTTTTAACCTCTTCTACAAGTAGATTTTTTTTTTTTTTTTTTGTCTATTTGTATCTTAGAAAACTCGCCCATTAGTCAACCACGTCTTAAGATCCAGGCCTCATCTATCCTGAAACATATTCCTGATGCCTAGCACAAGTCCCATCATTATAGCCAGTGTTCACTCATTCAGCAGTACTTGGTGGACACGAACTTGGTGCCAGGTACCATGCTGGGCCCTGGGGAATCCGATAATGGACACGATGTGATTTAGGAGAAAACGGTCGTGACAAAGGCAA